GACACGTACCCAGAACCACCCGCGACAATGTTTTAGCCCCATCAGAGCGCTCCATTGTGACTGCTCTGGACAGCACTCTCAGATGCCCGATTGTTTGCCATTGCTCTGACGCTGGGAGGGGCGCTTACAGGGTTGGCTTCAGGGAGCTAAAATCAACAAAGGGGGTGGCTTTACATCAAGGAGTATTTCAGGCAGGACTTCACAGAGGGTTCCAATAAGAAATGGTGCACCTAAGTTATTGTCCTTATTGGAGCAAGAAGGTTAGCCTGGCCTCTGATTGATACATGGCTAGATTTACCTCGCTGCACCTTGACTGCAGTGTGATCTAGAAGAATGAGTCCCCTAGACAGGGGGGGGGGGAAGCAAATGAGTACAAAACAAATCTGGTCTATTTCTTGTTTTGACCCACTCCATCTATCTTTTACATCTTTGGCTGGCAGCAGACGGACTGCATGCCATCCACATCTCATGACTGCTCGGCAGAAGATGGTACAGCACGACTGCTAGCAGTCCGTATCGCCTGCCCGCTCACCATAAGACGGTTCAATAGGACTGACTGCAGGACTAAAGAGAATGACCTGGTCAAGTCACTCCAAATTTAGTCCCTGTGCCCATGTCTGCCCAGGCGCTCCTGATCGACCTCACAGAGGCGACCAGGAGCACCTCAGACATGACGATGACGGCTACCAGTCGTACTGTACCGTCTGCTGCCACAAGGCAAGGGGTTGCTGCTACTGTGTAGCAATGCCGTACCGCGTCTGCCAGCACCCAGGAGACATAGGGTGACGGTTACCTGAGCGGGCTCCATGCTTGCCATGGTATGGCGTCTGCACAGGTAACTCAGGAAAAAAGGCGCGAAATGATTGTCTGCCCTTGCTTTCACGGGGGAGGGAGGGAACGGGAGGCTGACGATATGTACCCAGAACCACCCGCGACAATGTTTTAGCCCCATCAGGCATTGGGATCTCAACCCAGAATTCCAATGGGCAGCGGAGACTGCGGGAACTGTGGGATAGCTACCCACAGTGCAACGCTCCGGAAGTCGACGCTTGCCTCGGTACTGTGGAAGCGCTCCGCCGAGTTAATGCACTTAATGCACTTAGAGCATTTACTGTGGGGACACACACACTCGAATTTATAAAACCGATTTCTAAAAAACCGACTTCTATAAATTCGACCTTATTCCGTAGTGTAGACATACCCTTAGTGGAGAGCAAGCAAGTCCTGGGCGTGTCCCTAACAACAGATGCATTTTCCCAGCCCACAAGTCACACAAAGAACACAGCAGAGAAGCTATAGCTTAAAAACCACCTAGTCCCTGAATAGACGCAGGTTTCCTAATTCAGACCAAGAGCACTTCCAAGAATGCCTTGAGTAAGAGGCTGCCGATTCACCGCCTGTTCCTGTAACATACTCCCCACCCCCACAGCACCACAAAGCCAGCAGCCTCCCCCATGCCACTTTCAGTTACACCTTCCAGTTCAAGAATGGCAGCTGCCCATACCACAGCCCAATGAGAGGCTTCTCCCCATGCCTACCACACCCACTGGGCCCAGTAGGAATTTCTGGACACTGTCCACACAGGGAGCCCCTGAAATCCACAAAGAAACACATGAACTATGCAGAGATTCAGCGCTTCCCACAATCATTTTTGATTTACTAGAGCAGATTCCCAGATAGGGCTAGTCTGGTAACAGCAGATAACGGATCTAGAGCTGGGGTTGGGGCAAGAAAGTGATGTCAGGAACCCACCTGCCAAGCTGGGGTAGTGACTAAGGGGAGAATATAGTCACCTCCCTCTCTCATGTAGCCAAGGGAGGGAACCCTGCAGCCCTTGTTGTGGCCTTGGCTTTGTGACTGTGCCAGGAGGAGTTTGCTCACACAATGACTCACTTTTCCAGGAGGGGAAAGGCAGAGTTTCCCAATCCTCATTCAGTGGCAATAAAGCATCTTCATCTGGGTCCCAAAGGACACCTACCTGGCACCACTGTGTGTTTGCTCTCAGACACGGGCCATGGAAATCTCCTTAGGTACAAAACTGACATTTTCCATGCACACTGGCGCTGCAACTGTGCAAGATGTAAGAGCACTTAGCCTTACTCAGGACAAGTTCAACCACAACAGCAGTGGGAAAGCTTGTGCAGCATTGTCCGTATGGACACCAAGTGTTTAACCAGGGCTTGCATGGCCAAAACACGGTAGCATAGAAGAGCCAGGCCTATGAGAGATTAAAGGGTGCCTTCCTCTGAAGGCTGACAAAGGAAGCAAGATGCACAGCTGCTGCTGAGAAGCAGAGAGAATTGGGGTTGATCCCACACCCTGTTCCAAGACCCAAACTCTATGCTTGATTATTTCAAACTGTCTCGAGGTCCCCTCCTGCTTCCCGCCTTTCAGCCCATTTGCAGTCCTGAGCATCATTCTGCTGCCGGGGGTCACAGAAGAACAAGTCAGGTGAATCACACGTCAGCCAAAGGGCAAACTATACCAGAAATGGGGACTGCAGACGGGCCCTCTAGCACTCAGAAGGGAAAACAAGATCTAAATGGCTGACACACCACGTTTCTTCAGGTTTACATCTTCCCCAGCACTGGTCCTGCTGAAGCTCAGTAAGACTCCTTTGCTCCTGCACATATGATAACATAACAAATCGACCTCTAAGGTGCATGGAAAGGCTTTGGCTTTTCTCTAAAAAGACAAATCCCATGTGGTAAAGAACTGCTCCCCAGGAACATTGGAAAAGCAATGCACTCCTTCCTAGCTCACTCTATGTCTGCCCTGGGGAATCCCACTTGCAGACTTACATTGTCCAGCAGCATGAGTATTCTATAGACACCTGAGCATGTAATTCCTGGAAACCAAAACACCCACCACTTCCCAGGCAAGCAGGCTCAGGTTCTTCCGAACGGATGCATCTGCTCTAGGCCCATCTGTAAGCATTCTCCTGTACAGGTATTACAAGCAATGTAAGCTGTGGCATAGGTATTGCATACACAGGTTAGAGGACATGCTGATAAAAAGGTCTGCAGCTGTCTTCACTAATGCTCCCACCACTGATAGCACAGATGTGGAAAAACACACATTTGTTAGTCAAGGGAAGGCCTTAGTCAGCAGCTTCCTCTTCCACCACCTCTGAACCCTCTTCCGAGCAGCCCTGCAGGAACCAGGGTAGATAGTGCCATTCCCACAATCATTAACAGCCAGTGTCTTCAGACAGGCAGACATTCTCCAAAAACACTGGCTCAAGGGACTAGCTGCACCGTTCCTCTGTTCTAATTGGATTTATGCTGCAGATGATTAGCAGGCCCCTCAGCAGAGTGCAAAGCTGACTCTGGAAACAAACATTAACACCAGATGAGATCTTGCATGCAGTGACCCTGTAGTTGTCTCGAGGGGAGGGTGTCCCACCACATGACCTGGCAAAACTGCCAGCTTTACTTGAGGAGAACTGGAATAGCAGCGGGTGCTGTGCATTGGGGTTGAAGGCCATCAGCAGAGCTCAGTGAAACCAAGGACTTGAATAGCAGGGATATCAAAGATTTCCTGTGTGACCGTGGCTTAATCTCTCTGGGGCTATATTTCCCATGTGCAAGACGGGTATAATACTTTCCTACAGCACAGGGATGCTTCAAGGATAAGTCATGAATATTTGTGAGAAGGTCAGATGCTATGGGATAGAGCTGTATAACAACCTAGAGAGACAGAAAAGTTGTTTGCAAAGTGGTGAGCTCAACTCCACACACAGCAGTCCTACGTACGAAAGCACACAACAATTAAACAGACTTCCTACCAACACTCAACTATGAAAACTATTCATGAATCACAAACAATTTACAACTACATATGTATAACTACTTGGAGAGCAGGTAAGTGTGGGTCTCATTGCTCTGGCAGGAGACTACAGAGGAACTGAAGTGGGGAATTTATGCCCCAGTCTGAGCAGTGTTGGACTCGGTAGTTGCGGGCATGGCCAATTCCCCCAACTACTGCTCAGAAACTACTGTGGCCACATGGGTTGGCACATGACTCCTCGTGGGGGCCCTCTGGAAGCATTCTCTCAGGGACTTCCTTTAAGTGGTCACATATGTATTTGCCTACTCATCTCTACATATTCTGCCATGCTGTTCTCTGTGTGATGAACTCTCTTGTACAACAGAGGGAAATGCTCCTATATACCTCCAGCCCTCCGTTAGGTTTGTAAAGATGGTCAGGGACGCATCCCCTAGATACCCCAGAACATTGGAGTCACTGCTGGGTCACTGTGGCTCCTGTTTACACTGAAGATCCTGCCAATTTCCTGCACTCCAATCCCTTTCACATCCTTACAACAGGACTAGGACCTGGTCCTGCTTTGAGCAGGGGGTTGGACTAGATGACCTCCTAAGGTCCCTTCCAACCCTGATATTCTATGATTCTATGACTAATTGCATCACTTCCTGTTCTGTAAATGGGTTAGATCAATGCAACAGGAAACTGAGAAACTATGAATCAGAACTGCTACCACTATCATGAGCAGAACCAGATGCCTCTTCTCCCCCACCAAGTGTAGTCTGAACCACTCTCTTCCCCCCCACCCACATGTCTGTGAGAGGTAAAGTAATTTTGTAATTTAATACAGTGCATGATTTCCCTACACTATGATTCCTCTACCCTAAACTTCTATGAAGAGGCCAGCTCAGAGGAGCGGGGAGCTCAGTCCATCCTTGACTTCTACTCAAAGTGCCAATAATTAAGAACTGTTAAATAATAATTGCTTCTAGTCACTACTGACTTGGGACTGGGCTGGACCTGAACCAGAATCCTAGAGATGAGGGACCAATTTCCATCTTCAGTCCCCTGAACCATCCAGATTTATGCATCTTTTGGTCCTAGTATGTTTGACAGGGATATATGGCTTAGAACTGGACGAAGCACCCACCCAGCCTCTCACTGGCCTGATGCTCTGTATCTATGCTAACCTTTAATCTCTCTACAGAAGGCCTCTTAAGGACAGGCTGTCTCACCTTTAGCGTGGAAAGTCCATCCGTTCCTGTAGTACTCCCGCAGTTGGACCCTGTCTTGCTGGCCAAGGCAGCACACCTCGCTGTAAAACTGATGCTCAATGTAAACATAGGCAGCAGGAATGGCACCTGCCACCCCTTTGGCACCAAAGAACCCATTCACCTCCGGTGAGGCCAGCAAAATCTGATACTCTGCTCTGGTGCTCAGAACGAGATCCATGTAGGCTTGCGTGAGGTTGAAGTAACCAGTGGTGAGGTGTATTCTGGCACCTCGCTCTGCCTCTGTCAGCAACGTCTCTGTGACTATCTCGTCTATTTGAATCCCAAAGGGTTTCATTTGAATTAGTGGATAAATCCAGGTGTCCGGTTCTGTTTTTTGGTCCCCTCCTGCATCAGGGTTTTGCTGGGGCAATAACGGATCTCCTTCTGATCTCCTCCCATGAAAAGTCTGCGTGTGGAGTTTTTGTCGTGTCCTGGCAGCGTTGATCACTTCCATTACTCTCCTATTTGCCACTTCACAATATGTCGTCTTGTCTCCTGAGTGAAAACAAGGAATGACTAACAGAAGATATAGAGCTGTGACACTCAGGCTGAGGCTCGCGAGCTGCCAGTGGCTCTTTAATGGGTCTCCTGCGGTTCTTTACAGCCCATGATACGAAATCACGGTGTGATTTCATTATTAACCAATCGAAGTTATTAACCAATCAGGAGGCTTTTACTATGTTATTAACCAATTGTAATTGATAAAATAATAATGTTTGGTCAGTCACTTTGCTGTGAGAATAATATATGTAATATAAAATCTAACTAGTTCCCTGGCGTGCTGTTTAAATAGGAGTACACTGCTGTATGGTAAATGAAGCAATGAATTCACACTCCTGTGGCTCTTTTGGGTAATGTTGTTTTCTAGTTTGGCTCCTGAACCACTGAGGTCTGAGTATCACTGATACAGAGCTATGTAGTAGGGAAACTACATGCAGAAGGACCACAGTGGAAGCAACCCAAAGAGACCATCGCCATGGAGACTGCATGCTGTCTCTCCAAGACAGAAATGTGGACATTAGCACAGCTAGGGCAGCACACGACAGAGGGAGAAGTAGTCAGCCTTCATAGAAGGAAGGCCTGAACATGGGCAGCAGCTTCATGCTCAGTGGGAAATGAAAAGGCTACGAGCAGGGCTGGGGCAGAATGGTTGTCCTTGAAAGCTATGCACCACAGCTGTCCTCTGAAGAGGACTGGAATGTTCCAAAGGCAACCCTATATTTGCACAGTCTATCTATTTGATAGGTAGTTTAGTGGGGAACCTTCTGGAAAAAAACCTCAGGAATCAAGTGCCACCAGAATTTCCAGATGGGGATTTTAGGCAAATGCCAGAGGGAACTAAGAGCCACTCATTTACTTTTGTACAAAAGGTTCTCTGTCGCCTACAAGCTGCAGACACTAGCTCCATCTGGCCCCACAGGACAGTACTCAATTGATGCCACCCTATTCTGCTCAGGTTCTTACACCGCACCCCACACTGTGGTAGTTGAGTGCCAGTAAAGTGCTGTTTACCAGGAGTGCAGTGCAGGATCCTGTTTGTGCCAGATACAGACCTGATACACCACCTACAACTTCACTGCAGAGCAGAACAATCCCTTCTGAATCAGACTGGGACTTTTCTTAGGGACTGAAATTTGCTCCAGCCAAAGGATCACAGCAACTTTCTACTGTACTTTATAACAAAGGGATCTCCAGTCTCTTCTGCTGGGACTAGAACTGGGAAAACACACATTTGCAGCCGCAACAAGCCTATGGTGTATCTATGAATCTCAATTTGCAATTTGAATTGTGGGTTTGTGAAGGAGACACGTTTGTTCCACCTTTCTCTCCTGCTGAATCCACCTTCCTCTCCTGCTGAATCCCATTACCTAGAGCCAGTGATTTGACTCAGCAAATTTACATGTCCTATGGGGAAATGCAAGAGCGCCCTCTACATCCCCACCAGACAGCACTGTCACCCATTACACACACCCACACACCCAGAGACACAACCACATCATGTCGTATGGATGAAGGCCTGCCTACAGTACTTCAACGTGGCTCAATTCAGAGCGTCTCCTCCCTTTGATTTCACTCAGTTCTCCACGTCTGATATTCTCCACCCTGTAGTGCTACAGAACAACATGCCCCTAAGCAGAAGAGCAGTTCCCAGATCCCCATGGGCTGGGGAAGAAACATTAAACAGCTGCTGACATGGACTGTTCCTCTCTCAAGGGGAGGGTGACCCTTAGGTCACTTTCAGTGACCCCTGCTGCCCAGTTTAGGAACAGCAACAATAAGCACTAACAGTTGGCCTCTCAAGAAAGTCTGGAAGATAACAGGGAGCTACAAAGTAAGAAGACGTGCATCCTTCGTTCAAGAGAGACATTTCCTTTTGATCCTCCTTTGGTAGGTTTGGCCCATCTTCTACGTCATAGTGGGCAGGATGAGCTGAAAGCACCCTTTGCTACCACCATTCTGGGAGCTACACACTACATTTAATATAGCCATTTAACACTAACTACCCACTGAAGAATGCTTAGGCTTCTCTCTTGGGCTTAAAAATTAGTCCCAGACTCCTAGTAGGGACCAACCTGTAAAGCAAGCTGATGAAGGTTGGCAGGGCCCAGAGGGTGTATACTTGCTCCAAACAACTAGAAAGGACTGAATCAAACTAGCTCAAGCACTAAAGTAATCTATCCCCATTGGAAGCAAGGTTTCCAAGTGTAAAAGAGCTGTGTCTAGACAACTAGTCAGTGGGGTGTTAGGCCTCTTAGTGTGTTTATCATTCACAGGTCTAACACCCCACTGACTAGTTGCCTAGACGCTGCTCTTTTACACTTGGAAAAGACCATTTATCTGATTAGACACAGCAGACAAATATTTGCATGCTACCTGCCAAAAAGAAGCTCCCAGCTAAAACCCAAGAAGGACTTGGTTCTTTATCAGGCATGTTTGCCTCCAGGATTATCCCACACAAAATGAGCCTGCTGGAGGGTTGTCATTGCTCACTGGATCCATCTACTTCTATTACATTTAGCTTTGGAAGCATCACATCGGAATGTTACTGACATTCCAGACACCGTGCTGCCAGGAAGCAGCTTTGCTAGTTGGCAGTTCTTGAACTAGGCTTCCACTTGGAAGATGGCAACAGCCCTGTGTGCCTAGTACTGGACACTGACTTATGTTTAGTACTGCTTCCCTAAGACACAGGGGTCCAATGCTCTGGACAATGCACTGTACAATAACTTCCCACAGCATAAGCTTTACCCACACACACACAAACCCCCTGTTACCAGAGTACCACATGTCATCTGAAATATTCTCCTCCACCCACCCCATCTGCCCATTCCTCCACCATAGGGTCCCTGCCTCCTTCCAATTGGGCACTTATCTGAAAGCCAGGAACACATCTGATTGCAGAATACTATTCACTGAAAACAGACTGGAGTCATACATGCCCTCAAGATATTTATAGGGAACTATATTAATATAGCTAAGAATCTTGGAAAGGATACAGTCCGTCTTGCTTCAGAGCCTAAATCAATTACTAACCAGTGGGGTTAGGAAGAAATGCACCCTACGGGCTGGTTATTCTATAATTGACTTCTGCGGTTCCTTGCGTCTTCCTCTGAAGCAGCTAGTACTGGCCGCTGTCAGAGACAAGATACTGGACTAGACAGACCTCTGGGCAGATCCAGTCTGGCAATTCCTAGTAATCTTGGTTTTGCAACAAGTGGGATGGAAGGGGATTCCCCACACCCAGCTGACCAACATCAAACCCTCAGTGATCCATAAAGTATTGGAGTCAGACCCACTCCACCCATCCCTTCCCACTGTTATTCCCTCCTTCATCTGGGCCACATCACCCTCATATTACAGGTCAGATGACTATCATACCTTGGTAAGGATGCACCATCCCCTCCATCATCTGGACTGTATCATCTGGCTGTAAGTGCAGCGACACATCTCCAATTGCATCCACTAGTTCAGTGAAGAAATCTGCGATCTCGTGAGAGTCCTGTAGGAACACATAGCGGTCCTGCCGATTGGTGAAGTACGAGTCACTCAAGTTTGCACTGGCGGAGGAGAGGAGGGTAAGAATGCCAGGATAAAGAGTACAACCACATGGTCCTCATCACATATCTCATTGCACAGGCCTAGATACAGCTGCAGAATTACAATACAAAATGCCCTGATTTCACTTTTTAAAGAACATTCCCCAACAAGAGTGATATTTATTTTTTGTATTATCCTAGCACCTAGGAGCCCTATTCATGGACCTGGACACCATTGTGCTAGGTGCTGTACAAACACAGAACAAGATGACTGTCCCAAACAGCTTACAATGCAGCTCCCTAACTCTGTGCAGCTAATGTGGAAGAGATCCACAAAAGCAAGAAATTTCCCTCTGAATCCTGTGACAGTTGCAACACCATAGTGCTCACTAAGGCGTAAGCATGTTCCAAATGAAAACAATGCAGTCAGCATGTCTCTCAAGACCAGTAATGTGCATTCTCAGATCTAACTGTGCTGCTTCTTTACCACACCCCTGACTGGATCTCTCTCTGTAACCCGTAGTCAGGAAAACAGGCACACCCCCTCTCCCAAATGGGGCACAGAATACGTATAAGGATGGACAGAGGCAGAACTCACCCACTCAGGATCACGTTATCATCAAAGAGGTAAACCTTGATGTGCTGCAGCCCGATGGTTTCGTTGAAACGCTCAGGGATTAAGCATTTGAGAAGCCCACGCAGATTTGGAGTGTGGAAGAGGGATACACGGACTTGCTCTGGAAACCTTCTCAGCAGTGGAAGTAACATGGTTCGAGAGTTCTTTCTGCCTGAGACACAGATGGGAATAGTTATACATGGAGCCACTTTTCTACCACACCACCAAATCTGCCAGCCAGGACCCCAACAAGAGGGCAAAACAGATCCCCCTCCCCCAAGCTGGAAGCTGCCTTCCCTAGGATCTGTTGCTTTATTTGCTTGACATTTTGAGAGGGTTTCTTGTTTTAAGAGAGGATTTATTTGCATTTTATATTAATGTTATCATGATGTAACCAGCATTCCAAGGCCACTGGTGAGTGGGCTTTATAAACTATTTAGCATGATGGTCACACTCATGCTTCTTCACCTGGCTGCACGTAACACTAACTGACCTGGAGTGAGGATTTACACCACCACCACTTCTGCCAACTCGAACCCTCCTTTACAAGATGAAGGAGCAGAAAAGAGGGCTGGGGGTGGAGCAAATTCCACTGACACAGGAACTGGAGTTGGTGGGGTTGCTTGGGTGTAACTGAGGGCAGGATTTGGCTCAGCTATTTTAACGTTCCCATCATTTATTTTCTGAAATAATACTACCGTGTTGGAAAGTTACATGAGAATACAAAGCTACTGTATTTTGATGACTTGTGGCTCATAGCAAAACAGAGCTGGTTTTAGAAGAGAGCAGGTTTTAAATCTTTGGGTCCGATAAGCTATTTTTTAGAGCACGGACCTCCAAGCTCATCTGACCAATCCACTTAGCTTGCTGAAACGAGCCTGGGAAGTGGGCAGGGGGAAGGACACCCCATAATACCTACCTCGAGATCCCCTTGTGAAATCTAGGAGAATGGAAACTCTGAAGTCCGAGGGCCCACTTGCCTGCAGTGACCTCTCCAGGGTTTCTTCTATGCAATCCACCTGAAGGGAAACAGTCACACTGCACATTACCCAGAGTAAGTGAACCTACACTCTGGATTGTACAACCCAGGGAGCCAGTTGCTGGGAAAGCCTGTGTGCCTCTCTATGAATCTTTTCCAGTCATCAATCTTTCTAATTTAGACGTAACCTCTTTGGGACAGTGACCCTGTCTCTTTTTTTAAAATATATAAAGCACTAACGTCATCTGGGGCATCAGAAATAACGAGGGTACAGATTTTGTCTGCACACAAAACCACGATTCAAGCCTCTGAACTCTAGTTACACACAGCAGAGAGTCACCCAGCCTCACTCCTAGATCAGAGACTTCCACTGCCATCCAAAGGGGAGGGGCAGTTCCTGTGAGCTGCAGAGCCTATTCTGCTCCTATTATGAGCGGATTAAAGTCCTGTGTACAAGTCTTAAATCAGTTACAGAGGAAGCCAAACAAATCAACATCCAAGATAATCTGCCCACCTGCTGGACTTGCCCTCACAGTGGAATTTGTATTTCAAGCTACAGAATCATTTCAGGGCTCAAGATTTCTGCTCAGAGCTCTTTGTAGAGAAAAGCCTTGTTTCCAGTGGGGAAAGGCAGGGAGTGGAGAAGGTAAAGCAACATGAGGCAAAACAGAGACCTCCCCCTTGCTACGACAGCTGACAAGAAGTTGTGCACACACAGATCACACTCACTGCACCTGTATGCAGTGCACAGGGGACACACGACACAGACCACCACACTAGCATCACTAAAACTACTTCCACTCTTTTGAAAGCAAGTGCTAGTGTGTGGGTACCAGCAACCCCACAGGAGGAGAAAATATGCAGAAACTGTGCCAATAATTTTTAACCCCATTACCCATCCAGATTCATGGCATGTGTGACAGTTCCTGAGATCAGTAATAAGTTTACACCACACATTCCCTGAGCCTATCCTTCAGGTGCCCTTTCTGCATGCCAAGCCCCATGTGCAGTCTGGAGCCATGTTGAAAGGCTCCCAAGCAAGAGGATGGAAGCATAGGCAAAGTCTGAGTCCAGGCGCTCAGATGGACCCCCCACTCCAGCTAAATCAAAGGTCAATGCACGGGGCACCTATCCAAGTAGGCATTTTTTCAAGCATCCATCCACACTTACCAGCTCCTGTTCTAGGAGTCCTGTTCCGAGGTACAGCGAAGCCACCACTACTCGCTGCTTGGCTGCCTTTATCTGTTCCTGAGGACAGGGGAAGAGGAAAACAAGTGCATGTTCACATGCTGAGCTGTGATTTCATAAACACTCTTGGCTCTGCAGAGAACACCAAATCCCTTTCGTAGCCCTGGCAGCTACAGAATTAAGCCACAGACAAGCAGCAGAGCTCCCTGATGGGACAGATTTAACTTCAGCCACTTTAGAGGGGTATGCCTTTCCCTCCTTCAGTGTTACCCAAGTATTTATTTTTATTCTGCACCCCTTCCCCCAATGCCCTGCCCCACCCCTGCATCTTCCCGCTCCGCCTCTTCCCGCCCAGCTCTACCCTTCCCACAAGCACGCTGTGCCCACACTCCTTCCCCTGCAGTGCCTCCTGATGCCACAAAACAGCTGATCTGCAGCAAGCACTGGGATGGGGAGATGCTGATCCGTGGGGTCGCAGGTGGGCGGGAGGCACTGTGGAGAAGGAGAGGCGTTGATAGGGGGGCTGCTGGTGGATGCTATGCACCCACCATTTTTTTCCCATGGGTGCTCCAGCCCTGGAGCACCCACGGAGTCAGCGCCTATGCCTCTGGGTGCTTTCACCTTCCGCACTTGTCCCACATGGAAGTTAAGTGTGGCATTTGCCAGTAGCATCTCTCCTCCAGCACTGACTTTACAAAGGAAGGCCTGTCTGTGGAAGCTCCTGGAGGTCCTACTGACTCATTCACTGGTACCCCTGGTCTGGCCAATCCTGTTCCCCAATAACTTACAAATCATAAGGCAATCCTGACACTGTCATTTTAAGAACTCCTCATCCCTACATTTGAGCATTTCTGAAATGTAGGGTTGCTAATTTTAACTTGACAAGATCCAAACAATCAAACTGAACAAGGAAATTCTCCTTCCAACCCTGTTGCATGTCTGAGGAGAGATACATTATGGAACCTGCATACTAGTCACATTAACAGCTGCCACCACCTCCCCACATGCATGCTGGAAGCACACAACTCACCTTCATGAGTTCATAGAATTCAGTTGGGGATGAGAGCACCCGGATGCGAGAGCTGGAGACCGCAAACTCTGGAACCAGGTTCCTGATCCACTGGAACCTGTGCGCACCCTCGGGACAAACGCAGAATGATGGGGCTGTGACCTGAGGAACCACAGGGGTGAGCAATGGGGCCAGCAGCAGCCATGATGATCTGGCAAAGGAAAAACAGATTGAGGAATTCTGCATGATGGAATTGCAGTTTCCTACAAGCACCGTCCAGGTTCATGAGCAAAGGGTGCATCAGGCGAGGTATTTCCAGTAGAGACAGGGAAGTGTTAGTGCTGTTACACAAGGCACTGGGGAGACCTCATCTGGAATACTATGTGCAGTTCTGGTCCCACATGTTTAAAAAAGATTCATTCAAACTGCAACAGGTGCAGAGAAGGGTGACTAGAGTGATCTGAGGAATGGAAAACCTACCTTAGGAGAGGAGACTCAAAGAGCATGGCTTGTTTAGCCTAATCAAACAAAGGCTACAGGGAGATCTGATTGCTCTCTATAAATACATCAGAAGGATAAATACCAGGGAGAGAGAGGAGTTACTTAAATTAAATGCCAAAGGGGACACAAGAACAAATGGATAGAAACTGGCCATCAACAAGTTCAGGCTTGAAATTAGATGAAGGTTTCTAACCATCAGAGGAGTGAGCTCTGGAACACCCTTCCAACGGGAGCTGTGGGGGCAATAAACCTAACTGGTCTCAAGCTTGATAAATATATGGAGGGGATGGTATGATAAGACTGCCTACAATAGCACGTAGCCAATCTGTGACTGCTAGCAGAAAATATCTCCAAAGGTTGGTGATGGGACACTAGATGGGGAGGACTCGGAGTTACTACAGAGAATTCTTTCTCAGGGGTATGGCTGGTTGGTCTTGCCTACATTCTCAGGGTTTAACTGATCGCCATATTTGGAGTCGGGAAGGAATTTCTTCTTGGGTCAGAATGGCAGAGACCCTCAGGGGTTTTCACCTTCCATTGTAGCATGGGCCGCTTGCCGGTTTAAACTAGTGTAAATGGTGGAGTCTCTGTAATTTGAAGTCTTTAAATCATGATTTGAGGACTTCAGTAACTCAGCCAGAGGTTAGTGGTCTATTACAGAAAGGGTGGGTAAGTGTCTGTGGCCTGCAATATGCAGGATGTCAGTCTAGATGATCATGATGGTCCATTCTGGCCTTAAAGTCTATAAGTCTATGCAAGTGGGCCTGCAGCATTACACATCTCACTGATGTTAAGACTCCCTTTCACCTCTGTCCATCACACCAGGCTCACCAGAGCTACATGTGGAAGCAGAAAACTAGGAGCAAAAGATAGAAGAAGGCAGACCTGAACATCAGTGACTCCCCTGGATTCCACAAAGGGAGAGGCTCCCTGAGGGGCAGCAGAGCAGACATGCAAAAAGAGGAAGACAGACAATGAATGGCACTGAGAGCAGAAAGAAATGCTAGAGCAGAGGTGGGCAAACTACGGCCCGCGGGACCGTTCTGCCCTGCCCTTGAGCTCCCAGCTGGGGAGGCTAGCCCCTGGCCCCTCCCCTGCTGTCCCGCCTCCCCCACAGCCTCAGCTCGCCATGCCACCTGCGCTCTGGGCGGCGGGGCTGTGAGCTCCTGCCAGTCAGCATGGCAGCACAGCTGGCTCTGACTGGGCGGCGTGGCCGCCAGTCCTGGTGCTCTGAGCAGTATGGTAAGGGGGCGGGGAGCAGGGGGGTTGGATAAGGGGGAGGGGATTCTGGGCGGCAGTCAGGGGACAGGGAGCGGTTGGATAGGCGTGGGAGTACCGGGGGGGCCTGTCAGCAGGCAGGGGTGTGGACAGGGGTTGGGGCAGTCAGGGGACAGGGAGCAAGGGTGTTGGGTGGGGGGGTCCCGGGGGGGGGGCGGTCAGGGGACAAGGAATGGGGGGGGTTGGATGGGTCGGAGGTTCTGAGGGAGGCAGTCGGGGGGGGGAGAGGGGGGAGGAGCAGGAGAGGGCGGAGGCCAGGCTGTTTGGGGAAGCACAGCCTTCCCTACCTGGCCCTCCATACAGTTTCGAAATCTTGATGTGGCCCTCAGGCCAAAAAAAGTTTGGCCACCCCGTGCTAGAGTAACAAATGGAGGGCGCTAACTCCTAGGACGCCCCATTCTAACTCAGCTTTCCAAAGGCTCTCTTTATGCTCTCTGCCAACCCTGGGACAAATCACTCCTCAACACTGCCTTTACTACACAAACATCAGCTTCCTTGTGACCAAACGCTGTTTCCCGTTCTGTTATAGCCACTCTGATTTGTGTTTCCCCCAAGCACACACTTCTTATAATCCAATTCAAGAGCTTTATAACAGCTTTCACAACTGTGTGTGACCTTTAAGACACATTTTTGAATCCACATTTTTAATAAACCAAGTACTTCAGGACTGATCCAGAACAAAATGTAGAACACACAAAGCACCCAACACCAGTCCTAGCAAAGCTACTGAATGCATAATGCTGCAAGCCACAACCACCACAATCCAGGAACTCCCCTCATTGAAAAACCCAGAGAAAGCTGCCAAGTTCTGAAGTATGCCTCAGACAAAATATAGGAGCTGAAAGCTGAATGGGAAGAAACTGCAGCTAACATACAGTGTCATGCAGAGCATAAGGGATTGGAAGGAGGAAGTTAAGGTTTCACTCACTGAAGCTGCAAAGTGTAACTGGAAAATGAGTTGCAGGAAACATTTTTACAAAAAAAAAGTCTCAAAGAACAATTCAAACTTCCTCCTCTTGAGAGCCATTTGGGAGAAGGCCCATTGCTCAGAGCTGCAGGTTTGTCTTTGGGGTGCAGAGGGACAGATAACTGGCATGGGGGGGAGGGGTGAGTGAACTATCCTTTCCCCTTTCGAGACCGAGAGTGAAATTCTGAATGGGCCACAGGCAGGTCACACACTGACCCTTCATGGAAGTTTGTCCATATCACAAAGCCACCACACAATTCAGCACAATTAGCAGTGGCATCCAAGGAGAGATCCAGGAATGGAAAAACAAGTCACTGAACTTCATCTACAGAGCTGGGAAATGACTGCTCAAACCAAAACTATTAGTCCAAGTTACAGGAATAGGACATTTACACACAAAGAACCGTGCCTGCTCCTCATATCTCTGAGGAATGGTTGGTCCCTCAGGGCCAACATGCAACCCTGTAATTTTGATCTGCCCTGACACATGCCGTCATCTCATACAAAGAAAATCCACTTGAGTATTACCAGAATTTTATGAGGAACTCTTCAGTTTTACCACCATCCAAAGCCAAAATGACCACAGGTTCCAGGAAGATAAGATGATTTCACTTATTTACTTCATGATAAAACACTGAATCTTCACAAGGTTTGCAAAAGCCCTTGCATAAAAGCCAGTTTGCAGCTGCATTTCCCAGAAAATCCAACAGTTTGCGATGAATAGGCAGTGACAATGGAGTCAGCCTGTATAATAATTCCTAGCAGATCATGCGGACTGAACTTTGAACAGCAGTAATTTGATCTTGAAGAGGAATGGAAACCTTCCCTAAAGAAAAGGCATTTTAAAGCACTTCCCTAGCCATTTCCAAAAGCAGCTACCTACATGAAATGCATTTTTAAGGGCTGTTGTTTTTTAAAAAAGAAAAGGAGCTGAGCAGCACCATGCAAGCACACAGGAGGTCTTTGCTTACTATGTCCTGCAGAGTGACCTACACAGATTAAGCTGAGCAGAGAGACACTGTGATGGCAACAGACTTATCACTAAAAACAATCAGGAGTCCTTGGGGCACCTTAGAGACTAACAAATTTATTTGGGCATAAGCTTTCGAGGGCTAAAACCCACTTCATCGGATACATGGAGTGGAAAATACAGTAGCAAGTATATATACACAGTACATGAAAAGATGGGAGTTGCCTTACCAAGTGGGGGGTCAGTGTTAACGAGACAATTCAATTAAAGTGGAAGTAGGCTATTCTCAACAGTAGAATACCAAGGAAGGAAAGGAAAAGGGGTACTGGGATCACAATTTATTTGAGCATGAGCTTTGTGAGCACAGCTCACTTCATAGCTCCGAGCTCATGCTCAAATAAATTGGTTAGTCTCTAGCTTCCCAATACAGCAACACGGCTGTTCCTCTGAAAGGAAGGAAAAATCACTTTTGTAGTGGTAATGAGGGTGGCCCAATTCAAACAGTTGACAAAAAGGTGTGAGTAACAGTAGGGGGAAATAGTATGGGGAAATTAGTTTTTGTAATGACCCATCCACTCCCAGTCTTTATTCAGGCCTAATTTGATGGTGTCCAGTTTGCAAAAACTGGTTTCCCCATTCTAATTTCCCCCTACTGTTACTCCTACAATTATTGACCCCTACAATTATTCCATATGAGGTGGTGACAGCAAATTTTACATGCAACATGACAGCAACTAGTGATTCATACACCCGAGGATCAATATTTTCTTCACTAGACTGATGGCCAAGCCTGAAGCAAACTGCATTTCCCAAATAACATGACAACGGCCTAGAATCAAGTTTCAAAAGGAAATTTTTCAATAGCATTTTTGAGATTTCAAGGAAGTTGTTTCACTGCAGAAAGTCTGAAGACAGAAATTAAACTACACCCCTCCATAAAAAACCCTCAATAAATACTCTTCTGGAAACCACTGTCACTGTGGGAAAGACTGTACTTTATGCCAGGTTCTCTGTGTGTGTTGATAGGCATTGGTTACCCTTTGTAATCTTCTTTGATGCCTCTAAGATTTAAAAATAAAATGTGTAAGTGCATTTGACATAAGTGCATAAGACAAATCTGGAGTTTGTAATGTATTTGATGTGGAATCTGCAGGATTTTATAATTTGGGCTACAAAACCCTTCAAAGTGAATACAAGTTTGGCACTAGTCAACTGTAACTAGCAACAATGTTTTTTTGAAGCAGATACCTCTACCCACAGACCACTGAAAATACTCAAGCAACTACCTGCAAATCATCCCAAAAACATTCTGCACATACAGCCATCAGAACCCTAAGTTAAGAGAAACCACTAGAACCCATATTTCCAACAAACCAAGAGTGTCCAAGAACAGACGGAAAAAGCTTTCAAGTCAGTCCACAAACAATGACTAATTAATCTGAAAAAAGAAAAGGAGTACTTGTGGCACCTTAGAGACTAACCAATTTATTTGAGCATGCTCAAATAAATTGGTTAGTCTCTAAGGTGCCACAAGTACTCCTTTTCTTTTTGCGAATACAGACTAACACGGCTGTTCCTCTGTAATCTGAAAAAGAAACCAGAACTAGCAGAGGTCAATCTGAATCTTTTCTGGATAAAATCCGTTCCCTATTTATAGATGGGAGTTTTTCTGGACATTCTATTTTTAAGAATTGTGGTTTTGTCATGCAGACTTGTACATACTAGAGGGAACTCAGAAGCTACGATTCACTGTAAAACCTCAGCTGCAGTACAGGAAATGAACTGAAACTGCAGAATCCAGCTCAGTCCTTTCACCCACACAGAAGTCACCACACAGTGGGATCTGCAAATTGCTCTTGCCTTGAAATTCAGCACTTGGGTATACACTGTTTCTTTTTGCAGAGCTTTATGGGTCAATGGCTGAGTCTGAAAATTGATTTTGTAGTTAAAACACTGACGCAGCCAACAAGCAGAGAAGCTTGAGAGGAACTTCTTTGAACTGCCAAGATCAAGCAGCAGTGTGATGCTAAACATATGGCCTGTTCTTTTCTTCCCAGACTCTTGCTTTCTCTGTTTTTAAGTCCATTGAGGAGAGAAGCAAGCCACACTCTCACTGGAGTCTGTGAGGTCACGTCAGCACTCACAGGTCAGGCTGCTGCTCACCTCCCACCCACTAAAAAAGTATCAGTAAAAGAAGATGCCAGGGGACAAGAGAGGGTAAAGCAGCACACAGGTTGTAAAATGAAAAAAAGTCATGTATGCATTGACTCACACTGTAAAAGTTGTACTATTAGAAAACAAAACACCACCATGAGAGAACTGTGACAATTTTGTTAAGTGAAATGAAAGTTTCAGTGATTCACAGGATAAGAAGATACCCCTCCCCAAACATAACTTACTATATTAAAAATACCAGGAATTAAGTAGACTAAATACAAGAAAGAGCTCTGCACCCTTTTGCTCAGGAGACAACATGGGCAGCTAATACTGGAGTTGCTTTGCGAACCAGATTTAATGCATCCAACCACTTTTTCAGCAATTGATTCTTCATGGAAATTGGCAACAGAAATTGTGGCTTGGTTGCCACTTAATAAATCTTTAAGTAAGTTTTAAGTATCAAGAGATGGCGAACAACGAGTTCCTTATTCAAAAGCTGCCCCCACCTCTCGGCCCCTTGGCCCAGAGGTGGGGACAGCTTTTGAATAAGGAACTCGTTGTTCGCCATCTCTTGATAATAAATCTTTAAGTAAGTTTTACTGTACCCAAGTGAATTGGTGAGAACAGAACAGTCAGAACATCTGCGGAGACAAGGTCAAGTAGTTATGAGAATGTAACAAACTTCCTGTAATACCAGCAGCAAATGGTCTTTCCCAAATAACGCAAGACTCAACTATCCAAGATAATTTAAAGACTTTAAAATTACTGTACACTGCAAAAAGGCATCATCATTCAGCATCTTCTAAAAAGAGCTCCAATGTATTTAGCAGCAGTTATTACTCGTGCTGGCACTCAGCCTCCAACTGGATAGTGTAAGTATCTAACAGAAAGACACTGGTGGAAAAGTAACCAACTTGCCAGTTACTACAAAATATGACACCACACGTTAAAAAAAAGCAACAATCTGATGTCTCCATTTAGTGGATGAATGAAGGAAATGTAGCCTTCTGTCATGTACCTCCCAAGGATGCCCACACATCTTGTGTAAGTGGCCAGCTGGCGAGTGTTACTGTTTAAACATTTTATAAACTACACTCCTATTGTACAAGTGCCAACATTTTTAGTGAGCAGCTTTTCCGTCCCTGATAAGCTAACTGCAGAGCATTATCAGCAGGAGATTTCTGCTGAAGTCAAAGTTCATCTGAACTTGAGAATAGCACACTATATGGTATTCTACAAGAATTTATGGCTGCGGAGCTTGGAACATCAGTATGCAATCTGCCCAGAATAAAGTGCAGCATGTGACCATCTTATGCTCCAACACAAGAGCGCAAAGGGGTAGAGGATGAACCACAACATGGCTCTAATTCAGCAATCACTTCTTTATACTTAATTTAGATGCAAAAATGTTAAAGATACAGACACAAAATGCTGTACCCAACTTCAGGGAAAATGAAGAAATTAAAGAAAACTGGAAGCCACCCTTATAATTTGAGGATATAAGAAATGCTGATTTTTCTGAATATGAATCAGATTTGGAGACTGTGCATGGAATTATCCCAGATGAAAAATCTCAGAAAGCAGGGTAATAAGACATACATGGTGCCAGAAAAAAGGTAATTGCTTAATGGCTTTGTTTCAAAACTGTGACATATACAGTCAGGCAGTTGGCCTGTGCTCTGTGATTGCTGCAGTTACAATTCCTCTCAGTAATAATTTATATCCTGAGACTTTGCATTCCTATTGGGGGGGCGGGGGAGGGCTGTGGTTCAATAACAGAAGGCTCCTCTGAAAACAACAAGACCTCAAGAGACTATGACAATGCAGAATCTAGCAGATTTGTTTTTGGATTGGCTGGAAGTGGTACAGTATTGTAACTTCTTTTAAAACTAAATATTTGCTCAAGAATCCAAAAGATTCCAACCGAAATCAGGCATAAGCTTTCCTAAATTCAATTTCCTTTTCTTGATCTCTCCACAGAAAGTCACCTTCCACAAGATTAGGCCAGTAGTTCTCAAATTGGGCTTTCTGGTGGTCTGACGAAGGAAAGAATTTAATAACTGGGGGAATGGGCTGTTGCGAATGGAAGGCAAGTTTTACCAAGGAATCCACAGAATGAAAAAGAGTTGGAGATGCCATGGAGTAGGTCAAACCTGGGAGTCCAAAGAGATCATTAAATTATTCTGCCCTACTCTAGAGGAACTTTTGCTAGCTATGCGTAGATTTGGAATTTGAGACGATACTGAGTTTAGAAGCTCCAGAGATGGAGATCAGGAGCAGGAACACACATGCCAGATAAAACAAACACTGATCTGTAGAACAAAACAATCAGATCCTTTTAGAGTTTCAAAGAGAAGTCGTTTTTTTCTGATCACCCATTAGTTTGCATAATCACTGGCGCTACAAATTTCTGTTTATTTTTTTTTTAAGTTGAATTTTCATTTATTAGGCAAACAATACAAAGAGATTCACTTAGATTTCTGATTCTGTGCTTGTGCCTTCAACACTTTTACAACAATCTTCTGCTCCTCAATAAGGAAAGCTCGTTTGATTCTGTCACGGACACATTTAGCACACATGGAACCGCCATAGGCTCTGCTAACATGCTGCTTTGTTTTTAACAACCTCGTAAGGACTTTAGGGCACACAGCACGAACACCGCAAAGTCTTCCTGGACACACACCACATGCAGACTTTGGTGCCTTGCCAACTTTCTTAGTGTAAAGGTAAACAATCCTGTTATCTGGTGTCCGGGACAACCTAGTCTTGTTGGAGGCTGTGTTGGACGACAACCTACGACGGTATGTCAGATGCTGAACCATTTATTATATCTGGTCTCGCTGGGACCGGAAGAGGGACAGCAAGCATCAGCAGCGTCATAACAAAGAACAAAGGTCTCCTCAGGTTTCTGGACTACTCTGCACTCCAGAGGATCAGCTAAGGCTTCAAATATACTTAGTGTCTGCATTTCTTTCTGTTCAGATGCTTATAACTAAGGCTATGATTTTGACACAAAAATGTTTAGTAAATTTCCCAGCAGAGTTGTGAGGAAAAAAAGTCAAGTCACAGAAAGGGCAGTGTTGGAGAGCAAGACCACTGCCCAGAAGCAGCTCCTGTCCCACAGGGCTGGGCCCAGCTCTCTGCTCCGGGTGTTGCAGCCTGGCACATGGGGTCACAGAGCCACTCAGGTGTGACTGGTCTTCCCCTCCGTAAACGGAGGCAGAAGGGTGGGCAAGGCAACCCTGAGCGACACTGCGACCCCGAGCGCCAGGTTGCAGTGCTGCCCAGTCTGGGGGCCAAATCAAATGCGCTTTCACAGCCAGTTCCAAGTTTTCACAGACTCCATTCACATTCGCGCTCCCCGTGATAAAATCGTAGCCTTATTAAAACGTGCCATCCCCGTGGTCCCTGGGCACCTCAGACACGGCCCGGCGGCCGGGAGGAGGCCGGAGGTGGCACGTGCCCTCCCAACGCGCCCTTGGGCTGCCTGCTGCGTGCGTCCGGCCGCCCCAGGAGCCGGCGGGCGGCGCCCAGCGCCGGGCACCCGCTGCAGGCCGCTGGGCGAGGCGGGCCCGGCTGAGCCCCGCGGCGATGCGCGGCCAGGGAACGGGCCACCCTTACCTCCGGGAGCGCCGGTCCCGGCCGAGGGACAGACGGTCCGAGAGGCGCCCGAGCAGCGCGGCCAGGCCCAGCCTCCCGTGAGGAAGCAGGCCCAAGAGCCGCCGCCACAACGCGGGACCGCCGGCCGCCGCCATGGAGACTACGCTGCTTCCGCTTCCGGCCGCCGCCATGGAAACCTCGCTACTTCCGCTTCCGGCCGCCGCGGGACGCGCAAGCCGCCGACTTCAAAAGCGAAAACTTTATTTGGGGCGCGAACCACGGACACGGCCCCTCCGGCGCAGCCAGGCCCGGCTCGGACGCCTGGGTTCCACCTGCCGCAGCGTCACCCGGCGGCGTGAGGGCGCGGCGGGCTGGGCGAGGCTGGCTTGAGGCGGAGGGGCCGGGAGACCGGTCACGGGAAGGCGAGGCCTGGCAGCAGCCGAGCCCGGCCAGCCCCTTCGACAGGCCCAGCACTGCGGGCGCCGTGGCCGGCCCGGGGTCCTCCGCGGGACTGGGCCTGACTGGAGAAAAGTCCGGGATCCCGCCCGCCTGCTAGGACGTGGCGACGCTCGGCCAGCGTGGGGAAGCTCGTGGGTGCGGACACAGACCTTCCCAGGCGAGGCACCTAACCTGTGGAACTCCCTGCTGCGGAGAATGATCATGCACCTTCCCTGTGCTCAGAACCTCTCGGGCCGATGATATTGCCACACCCTGTCTGGCAACAAGATAGCATTCCTCCGGGGATTCCCAGTGCACCTTGTCTTTCTGTATCTTCGAGATTGCCAGGTCACTGGGATACGGACTGTCTTGCTACACAGGGCTAAGCACGCTGAAGGCACTTTTAATAATAATGCATCGTTCACTGCTTTCTAGGTACAGGAAAGTTGGTTTGCATGCCTGGGTAGTGGGTTTACAGCAGGACCACGGTGTCTGTGCTGAAGGGAGGCAGATGTACATAAGAAGTATAGAATTAACCTGACCTTGCAGTTATGACACAGACAAAACTCCTGTTGAAATTTGTGGCAGTTTTACCTACATCACAAATGCTGAATTGGGCCCAGAAGTATGAAAGGGTTCACATAGAAGATGGAGGTGTGAACGTGAATGCTGAGCATTACAAGTCAAACAAAAATGTCTTGAAACCCTACTCATCTGTGCTGTATTGTCACCATTGATCTCCAAGGGGCTCGGCAGGGATCCTGAGATCTTTGTCCGTCTTCTGAGTGCCACAGCCAGAATGCCTGGCCACTTCAGGGCTATGCCAGCCTCTAAATCTTCCCTTTCAATCCCCTCACCATTTTCCAAATAAACAAGGAGAATACAATATTGCTTGGGGAAGCATGTCTGAACATTCCCTGTATCGAAACCACAGAATGAAAATCTCTCCACACTAAGACACTTTTGTAAGGAACTGCTGGGCTCTTTACAGTGTCCATGGATACTGACTGATTCAGAAAAAGCAGGAAATCCTGAGTTAGGGCTGCTGCTGCCAAAGAGTCTGCGATTCACCCCCAAGGCAAAACCAACACAAACAACAGCCGGAAAGACACCCTGCCCGTTGGCTTTTAGATTTAGGCCCCATCTGGCTTATGCCCATGAGTATTTGACCAAAACCAACTTTTAATTTTGTTTTAAATCAAAGCATAGTTTTGGCTTTCCTCGTACCCTACCATTGTCTCTGCCATATCTGGCATCTGGACACTAGAATCAGCAGTCAGCTGCTGGAGTCCCATCCTCAAAGCTAGATTTACTGTGTGTACACATGTCCTGCACATTACTGCTGCCCAAATTTGGACTGGGGCTCTTCTGGGGGGCCATACTTGGCCACTTTCCCACATAAGCTAACAGGGTGTATTTCTCTCCCGCCCCCAGTAAGACCGCTAGGAACTGGGCTGTATTAAAGAGTTATATTACTCTTGGAGCCTTCTGACTCTCCAGAGCCCTTCAGAAGCCAAAGGGAGTCGGATTCACCTGTGCAAGTTCAGAAAAGAGCAGATCCAAAGCAGAGTCGGAGGATCAAAACCGAACCCACTTAAGGATTTAGAGGGATTTTAGAAAAAACAGGCTTATCAACTCAGTGAAAAACTTCTGTGATTCAGCCCCAAAACTTCAGAGACTCTTTCTTTTAAGTGTAGTCTCCTGTCAAGATCTATGGGAGACACATGCTCAGACTTCTCTGCCCCCAGTCCCATATCAGTCCATGACTACTGTTAGGGGGCTTATTCCTTCACCCACTTACTTCCCTGGTCCTTCTCGCATGAACAGAGAGCAACAATACCCGAAGTCCAAAGGTGCAAACAATTCAATGTTTATTGGGGTGTACTTCCAGCAAGCATGATTCCAGTTTTCTTCCTTAGTGTCCCTCTTCCCAACTCTTACACCTGTGTCCCTGTTCCCCTTCCTGCCCTTAACCAAACATGATTCCAATTTCCTTACCCCCATTCCCTGTTCCCATTTCCCCCTTTAGCAAAACAAGACTCCAATTTCCTTACCCCTGTTCCCATCTCCCCCACCGACCCCCCCCACTTCCTGATTGACTGCAGACTATATAGTAAAACTTGAGTTCTGCTTAGCTATACCTTAACCAATCATTTTCCTGAAATTTAACTAACCAATCCTAACATATTGTAACATGATTATGTAACCAATTATATCCCACCACCTTTATTAGTTTACACCCAGCAAAATTAATTATACAGCAGACAGGAACAATCAGAGAATCAGACAGAGATTATACAGACAAACAATAGCAAAGTAGGAACTATAATGACAAAACAATACAGAAGTGAGGATTTCACATCTCAGCTATTGATAAGTGAGTTCTTGCCAGACAGGATGCTATCAAACTAAGTTTCCTTTTACATTTTCTAGGCACTTCCCTTTCTCTGGAGGTGATAGGCACTATCAGGACAGGATTGTATTCCTAACAGCCCAATAGCACCTTCTTTCAATGTGACTAGTTTGGAATGTGAGGATGTGACCGGTCGCTTCCCAGTTTTACCAGCAGGAGAGTGGGGTGGGGGGAGAGAAAACCTTTTGTAGTGGTAAACACCCATTTTTTCATGGTTTGTGTGTATAGAAAGATCTTATGTACTTTCCACAGTATGCATCCGATGAAGTGAGCTGTAGCTCACGAAAGCTTATGCTCAAATAAATTGGTTAGTCTAAGGTGCCACAAGTACTCCTTTTCTTTTTGCGAATACAGACTAACACGGCTGTTACTCTGTTCCCAGTTTATGGCTGCCTGTTGCTTAGCCAAAGGCCTTAGCCTAAGAACAGGGCCTCAGACTATCACAGTAAGAGAAGGCCCTTACACCGGCAGACAGTGATTTTGATTCTTTCTTTTATCTCTCTCTAACTAGCCAAGTGATAAGAATACACCTAAATTCTTAGAGTATAGGCCTTTACAGACAGACCTGAATATCTATATCCTAACAACTACCATATTTGAGGTTGCAGTTTGGGACCCAAGTCTAAGATGGCTGCATGTTGATGATGTTCTGTCATATTTCACAGAGTTCCTTTGAAGTGATCAGAACACTAAGGTGCTCAGATACCACAGTGATGAGCATGAACTAAAAACCTTTAGTAGAATACATTTTGCAACAGCTCCCCTAAAGCTGATAAATGTTGTCTTCTGTGATGAGCAGGATAAATGCACTTCCTCCATGCTCTCTGAAACCTGAAATTCTCCATCCCATCAAAGCTTTGTTTTTCCCAAAAAGGCTTTGCCAGGTCACCACTGGAATGCCATTTCCTGGAACAGAAAACATCTTAACATGGAAACAAAGGACTTAACAAAATCCAAAATTGGGACTCCATGTTCTGCAGATGGGATGGGAACTGTCCTCTGGGCAGAGGTTATGTGTCACAGTGTTCTCTCTCTCTCTCAGAGGTGCCTGCTTGCAGAATCTCCACACCAGCATGGTGGAGTGTCATGTTGGCTGCTGAATTGTTCTCTTGGATTGTTTCTCTGTGTCTGTTAGGTCAGTTTCTCTATTGCTTGTCTAGAGCCAAGTCCACCATTTAGTCCCCAGAAGAGGCAGCTAGGGGGAGGCTTGGTTCAATTTCTGGCTGATTATGCAGAGGACAGATGAAAGTAAGTGTTTGTCCCCAGCTATGCAGAGCCAGAGGGAATGTGCTGGGGAGTAAAGCCCCAGTACTTTTTGAAGCTCTACATCTAAAACCAAAAACCTCTGAGTAAAACACACATATTGCTATGTGATGAACCCCCACATCACAGAAACATGCCAGGTTGGGACGTGGGCCTCTGGGGCTCAAACTTGGCTAAGCGCTGCTGGTTTAACCCATCTAACCCTTGGGTTAAGACCCTGCCATTGTAAAGTCTGTGATGAGAGTGTGGGAGGGGAGCCATGCCTTCTGCAGTGGCACAAACCCTCATCGTTCTTTCAGGGATACCTCAAGGTTTCACTATGAGGTGCCTGTTAAAGAAAGAAAAGGAGCACCTTAGAGACTAACCAATTTATTTGAGCATAAGCTTTCGTGAGCTACAGCTCACTGCATCGGATGCATAAAAGTGGAAAATGCAGTGAGGATGTTTTTATACACACAGACCATGAAAAAATGGGTGTTTATCACTTCAAAAGGTTTTCTCCCACACCCCACTCTCCTGCTGGTAACAGCTTATCTAAAGTGACCACTCTCCTTACAATGTGTATGATAATCAAGGTGGGCCATTTCCAGCACAAATCCAGGGTTTAACAAGAACGTCTGTGGAAGGGGGGGGGGGAACAAGGGGAAATAGGTTATCTTGCATAATTACTTACATAATGGATGTAGAAGCCCTCTACACCAACATTTCACACAAAGATGGACTACAAGCTGTCAGGAACACTATCCCCGATAATGTCACGGCTAACCTGGTGGCTGGACTTTGTCCTCACCAATAACTATTTCACATTTGGGGACAATGTATAGCTTCAAATCAGCGGCACTGCTATGGGTACCCGCATGGCCCCAGAGTATGCCAACATTTTTATGGCTGACTTAGAACAACGCTTCCTCAGCTCTCGTCCCCTAACGCCCCTACTCTACTTGCGCTATATTGATGACATCTTCATCATCTGGACCCATGGAAAAGAAGCCCTTGAGGAATTCCACCATGATTTCAACAATTTCCATCCACCATCAACCTCAGCCTGCACCAGTCCACACGAGAGATCCACTTCCG